TCTCTCTCTCTCCTTGTTACGCATGGACGTAGACGCATAAGCGCGCAGTTATAAGAATGTAACGTCGCAAGCTTTCGCAATTTCTGCCCGGCCGAAAATTGCGCGTGCGTTAAACCTACCAAACAGCGGTACTCGGAATTCGCGATGCTCCGAGGCGCTTAAAGTTCTTATCGTAAACTATCCCAGGCATTCGGCATTCTGGGATATTCAATGTGCCAAGCATGCAAAGTTGTATTTATGCGCGAGTTACGGGCACTCAAAGTTTCGAGTATTTAATAATTCAAGCATTCAAAGTTCCGAGTATCCGATATTTCGAAGTCCCGATCGTGAGCAATAAATTTAATATTTTAGGCATCCAGCAGTGTAATGGGCAACGCTAGTTCCTCAATTATTTAACATTTTAAAGATGCAACATTTTAAGACACTGCCGTTTCAATTGCTACGATTAATTATTTCGAGCACACTGTGAGAACTTCTGTCTGATCATCTGGTAAGCAATATTGTTAATACCACTACTAGTAGCTTTTTATATGATTAATTGGAAATTTTTTGCAGAGAGAGAAGACTCATCTTCCTGGATACGTTTAGTTTCTGTCGCAATAAAAACTCGTTGATGAAGGTTGAGTAACAAATGAGCATATTTTCGTCAAGAACACTTCAAGAGGGTGACCGAGGGCTTTTATCGCTCCAGGATGATTTTCCCCACATGTACATACCTTATTTCTTTTGTTTCGGCTGGACCCTCATCAAATTTCCTGTCGGTGAGAGGTCCCGGCTGTTTAGCGGCTACTCCACCCCTAAGGGTTTGTTTAGGTTACCGCGATCAAACCTCAACTTAATCCCCAAGTTGGATTTAAACTTTGGCCTGAAAATATAATCTTCAAAAAAAGAAAAAGATAAAAATAAAGAATCATATTTCAATGTTACGATTCGATGCGCGATGATAATGCGATTGCACTCGATAAGTAAAATTACAAATTAGTATGTCGTAACGTTTAATATAATTTTCTTGTTAGACACATTGTTAAGTCGGACAGTCTCACATTTAACGTCGAAAAGCGAAGTGAAAATGGGACGAAAGATAGGCGTCACATTTGCAAATACAAAATGTAATTTCAACGATAACTTCTACTGAGTTAACGAGCCAAACGAGCTTTTACGCCTGGAGTTAAATTGAGCCGGCTTGGGCCGGTTTGATTTCCAGAAAGTTTTTCGCTCAGGACGCCTGTCATGGCGGAAGTAAAGAAATAATGTGAAAACCGTCTGCGGTAGTCAAAGCTGGAGAACACAATGGAACACGAGGATTCGCCCGACCGCTTCGTCCGCCGGCCAGGTTTCTTTCTTATTTATACGCGAATCCCTTTGTTTTTCATATTACCACCTTCTCTGGCCGATTGAATAAATTTGCAGCGTCTCATTTTCCGCTCAATTTCTTGCTCGATAATAAAATACGCTTGGATTCTTAATACGTCTCTTTATCCTTCCGCGACACTGAGGATTATTCTAAGATAAATATATTTTAATTAAGAAATAAATATTGTTAATATTACAACACCGAAATATTGATGATTATTGTGAAAATCTTAATATCTATCGAGGTATAAAAGAAAAGTACAATTATCGAAAAATTATAATATGTAGTTTCACATTTTTTCACCCTCTCTACATCAAAATATTTTAATGACTGTGAATTTCCCATAGCATGAATTTTCCTTAATCTTTACGATCCGATCGATAATTCGTTCTAATTTAACAAAAAATGCAAAACGGACAATTTTCTGATTATTGCGATTCAACAGGTCTTAACACTTCTCCTCTCGGTTTACAATCGTACAACCCCACTGTTCGATTTTTAAAGTCCCGGAGAATAGACCGTGTGTGATCCTTTGTATCCCCGTTTGTTTGCCGAGAATCAATGCGGTTTGATATTCGCTGAATTAATTGAGTGGGACTTGTGCAAGGAAAAACAATTACTTCACGAAGAAAATGAAAACGATTAGCCAAATTATGCAGCTGTATTGATCTGTGAAGCGTTTGCTTTGTGACAAAATATCCTGAAAGAAATACACAACTGCGCCGGGCTTTATGGTAGGTCCTTTATTGGGCCAATATTCGTGGCCGCCGGCACCGAATTCATCGGATGGCTAGTTTTTGTTCCTTTTATTCCCAATAACTCGAACAGGGCGCAACACGGTTCGCGTAATAGGAAACGTGCAACGCACTTACATACCATAGTATTCCCGGCCAATTGCGCTTTTTCAGAACGGGCACGGTTTAAATAACCCTCCGCGAAAAAAAATAGGCGAATTAAAAGAGTTCATAGGAATCCAATCTGTGAAGTTGCGAAATAACGGCGAATTCTAAAAGCCCCGTTAAATTACAAATTCGTCGGCCTACAGTCGGCGTTCAATTTCTCTTCATTTCCGCCTGTTTATTTTAATTTTCGCAAGCAGCGGGCGATTGAAAAAAAACATTAATCCTCCGCGCAAAACTGAAAGGGTCTGTCGTGTTGGTTTAAACAATGAATAAAACCCGATATAATCGAGAATTGTCAATCTCGGAAATTGCGATACCGGGATTAATGTGACGTCGGAATATTTTCCCGTCACAAGAGCTCGATTATAAAATTACGAAGAGTGCCGATTACTATTTATAGATATTGTTACTTAAAAACGCATGACTATCGAGGAGAGATCCTCGCAGGACAATTAACTCAGCATTCCTGCTCGCGACATCCACCCTTGTCAATCCCAGCCCCGCAAATTCCCACTTCCCATTTTGCAACACAAATTTCACTTTAGTGACGAGAAGCGATATTTACCATTCGCTGTCTCCGCGGAGATCTCAGCGGGAGAGACTGGGGGGGAAACTAATAAATCTGTATCGGCCGAAGAGATCAACGATGCAATCTTCGCAGAATTTAATACGGTATGTACGCGCGCACACTCGAGTCGCTCGCCGGTCCGAATAATCCGCGGCTCGCTCGCGGGAGCATAATGCATGGATTTCGTGGTAAATATATTTACGGGGACAGAGTGAAAGAGAATACCGAGAAGAAGGATGGACAGAGGATGGGGCGGCATAAAGCGGGTGGACGGACGGCACCGCGCCCCTTTCGTGTTACGGGGCTGAGTATCCGTGGCTCCGGCTGATTTACATTTACGATCACTCATCTCTGCCTCGACCCGGGCTCGTACTACAGCTTATTAACTCATTCGTCTCGGTCATGAATAATTTACCACCTTGACACACCATTGGGTACCGCCCGGTGTTGTTCGCGCGGGATGGCCGCTTCTGTCCGGATAAGAGCTGGCCCCACTCTTCGAAAAAGAGAGTGGCTGTTTAGCTGAGTGTTCGGCTTACGACGCCGCTGGTCAACAAAGTTCTCCGGTGGTCTCGAGCGAGCGGAAGTCGAGGCCAAGTTAATAAGCGATTGTTATCATTGATACGCGATTTCCCGGATGTAGAACGCGATGCCGCAAATAAGATGCGTCTGCCTCGTGGAGGGCTTTAGAAGGAGATCGTTGATGAAATTTCAGGAAGTGCGTTAATTTGGTGAGACTTTTAAGAAAATACATCAAGATCTAATATATTATTCTGCAAAAGTTGTATTTAAAAGATCTCGAAAAAATCGGTAGATTATGTAAAAAATATAATCGATAGATTAGCTAGAATAGCAATCGATAATAGGTCGAAGTAAAGCTCTTATTTTATTTTAAAGATTGGCAGTGTGTATTGTAGACTTCGGTTATCATGCAGAGTGACATGACATGAAATTTATCAATAGCGCTTGATTAAACAGCAAAATTTTCCACAGGCTAAATTCCGTAAGACTGGTAATCTTTATTTTTATTTTGTCGGTGTTCAGAATGCAATTCCAAAAAAATATAAAAATACAAGAAATCAACTTTTCATCATTAGATAATAGCCGATCCTTCCCTTCCGATTGTAAATAAAAAATTGAAATGCTTACATTATCATCGTGTAATAAGAAAGATCGTACGTTATCGTTTCAAAAGCATTAAAATATATCAACTTGTGATAAAGGAGTTTGACGGATATTTTATAGTAATCTTTCAATTATATATAATGCTAAGTAATTATGTAAATATGAGAGATGGCATCTTGAACAAATCGATTTCCAACATCAATGAACGCAGAGGAAATTAAAAATTGGAATAAATGTACGAATAATGTAATATACAATAAATAGGAAAAATTAAATGACGATAATGCATGACTATTGTATGCATTAGATTTTATCTCTTTCATATTTATTACTCACTCATTTTGTATGCTTATTATAAAATTTTTTTATAATATGTTCGCTTTCTCTTATTGAATATTTAAAAATAATTATTGTCTCATACAATTATCCATATAATGAAATATAAAAAATAAAATTGAAAGTTTTAATCTATGTTCTAATCTATCGCCTGTTACATTGCTCCTTTCATTATTCTCTTTAAAATTTCGTCATTTTCTTAATACACATATTTAGCAATATATTAATTTAACATTAACAATATATCTAACTTAATATGCTTCGTATAACACATAGATTTTTTAATATAAATACATGAACGACTGTACCAGTTAATAATAATCGAATTTAATCGAAAATGAAATTAATTTTCTAATATAAATGCTGCGTATTAAATAATGAAAAGGTTATAGTCTAAGTCAACAGAAAGGAAAACATTAAACGCGAAAAAAGAAATTTTAATGCAATTAACGTATAATTTACATTAGAATTTTAATCAGGGGCGTAAAGGGTACTGGCGATTACACATGAGTGTGATATTACGTGGACATAGGGAAAATTAAATTGTCAACTATGCAATTTATTCTTGGACGGTATCTGTTTGATATTTGCACAATATATTAACAATTATTATTTTGTTAACTCGATAAAAAAATACACAAAATACTGATATATTATAATATTAGGACATTCTCTGGAGCCCTGCCCAGATCAAAGTCGTTTGCAACAAAAAATATATATTTATTTATTTATTTATATATTTTTATGTATAATAATCTGTGTGCACGAGAAACGTGGGTCAGTGCCGATAATTCTCTTCCTTTACTTCGCGAAACATGTATGTACATCGAGCATATCTTATTATTCCAATTTTTTTAAGTATAAATCAAATATCCTTGCATCATTCAAGAACAAGGCACTTTTTCCTCGTATTGTACGAGAGCGGAGAGGTTCAACTGTTTAATATTTACAAAGTGATGAAATTCCTAATTCTTTACATCTAAGGGAAATCCTTGAAATTTTTCTCAACCTTGCATGGAGATTTCGAAAGATTCCAAGAATTTTAGAAAATTCCAAGAATTTAGAAAAAAATGTCTAATTTTCGCGCATAACAATTGGAAATCGTGTATCAGAAGATACAAGGAACTTTACACTGCAATCACAGTTTACGCGGAAGAAGAATTACACGCGTACTGAACCTGCAAGAAATATAACTGCATTAAAAGGAATTAATAGGAACTTGTTTTGTATTAATCACCTCGCTATAATCGGACATACAACATCCAAAATTGTTTTCATTAAACATTGCGTACTCCTTTTCTCATGATAGAACAAAGGACATTTTGTGAGAATCACCTGTCGAGATCACCTGATCGAATTAATCAATATTTTAAATTAAAGTAAAACGATCATTTTTGTTTTTTTACTCGCTATCTTTTCACATTATTTTAACGGTTTTCATAGGAAAAAATAAAAGCGTCAAGTGCATAATATAACACCAGCGTCTCAGGAAAAGATAGGAAAGAATAGGAAGGAATACAAAAATGTTGAAATAAATCTATGATTTTAAAGATTAGAGAGTTGATTTTACAGAATGAATTTCCCGTCGATTCCTTTTAATTTAGTCATTTTTTTTTTGCAGGAGAAGTACCCCACATAATCTAGAAAAATGTACAATGATGTTGGCCGAGCAAACATTCTGTGCGCATATACGCCGCGGAAGAGATACTTATTTATGTCATACAATCGATCGTTCTGCAATAACATCCACAAGAATAACATTTAATAAAACGCTCATACGCGAAACACGCGTTTATCTCGCTCCTTGGGCTTGCACGCTTCTACTCATCATAACAAGATAGGTCACTTTTCAACATAAAAAAGTCTAACGCCACGCTTTACTAAAATACTCCGCTAAAGATACAGCTTCTTAAACGAGTGCGCGTACATCATTAATCCTCAACTACTATAACCCAACCCCGATAATGCAACTGTTATAGCAGGATCAATTCCAACTCCGAGAAAACAGTTACATTAAATTTTAATTGAAAGTAGACGGAAAAACAAAAAAAGAAATACATGTAGTGAAAATATTAATTATACAAAACAGGTACCGAATCCTTTTGAATTTCACAAACTGGCGATTTTACAGATTCTCACAAAAGTCAAATTTGACCCCACCATCTCGTAGTTGAGGATTAATTCTGACGCATACACGAAGTATTCGAGGTTTTGCACCGATGAGAAAATGGAACATACACACATACTTAAATTATCAAATTATTAAACTCCATTTTTTTTATAATTTTTATACGAGTAATCATGATTTAAAATAGCAGAAGAACTATCTAACATCATTTGATAAAATTTGGTTTCATAACACCGAACCCAAAGTATCGACGTACGTGTGCAAATGTGCTGTGGACGTTTCGGAGGCTTCTCAAGAAATTGAATGTACCAATTCGAGTACTGCGCGCACGTGCACGCATACACACACATATACATACACGTTCTAACAATTGGAAGTGTGCTATCACTACACTTCAAGCAGCAACTTTGAGAGAGAATGGAATGTGTTGCGTCTTTTTATGATACAAGGATAACATGAACATTATACTTTGTTAGCAATTATATTTACAAGACTTACAAATCACACCTAGTAAAAAATGACACAATCAAATCGTGTCTATTGCAATTCGTCCTCCTGTACTCTCCCCGTTAAATTGATACTATCGATTCGCGACCGCGCCCGTGTCGTCCATCTTCTATTGTCCTATAATCTCCAGGATCCGAGGATCCTGGAACTAGTTTCACAATTTTTGGTTCGGAGGACCTACGGATTTGTAAGAACCTGCGTTCCACAGATCCTCAGGTCTGGGGATGCGGGAAGTTAACAGCCTAAACGTGTGTCAAGAACCTTAGGTACCTGGACATGCAAAAATTTGAATCTTTCGTAATTATTATACAAAAATTCCTGTATTCTAAATTCAAGAATGCCATCACATTCTCAAATTTCCTCACTCAAGTGGTTTTCCCTCTTATCCTCTTATTCCCGAGAACTCGGAGATCCCGAAATGTTCATATCCGGAGATCGCTAAACGTAAGACAGAACCTCAAATCAGTCGCCACACGTTAAAAAATAAATCTCGTTCGATCTCGCCTGCTTAATAAATAACGAGCGGTTGTAGGTAATTCGCACTGTACTTTGCGTTAAAATGATGAGCTAATTTGCGTCGTGTCCCTGTATATTACCCACAGTCGTGAAACATATCGATCTGCGTTTCGAGCTCGAAGCACGATAGGTATGAAAGAATCCCTAAATATGGATTAGTCCTAGCATTCGGACTTGTCCTCCTCGACCAGTTGCTGGGTGTCCTTGCCCGAGTCGATGGGCGTCGGATCCAGCTCTCTCCTCTTTAGATGCAGCTGCGGGAGTTCTTTGTGCTGCACGCTGGAGGGCTTCATCTCCGCCGGCGCTTCGTACATGCTACTGGCGCCAGTACCGTTCGTGGCGCCGCTCTCCATATTCACCGCGTCGTACATTGGATTGCTGAAGTCTCGATTCTTATTGGTGACGTCATTGAGATTGTATTCCACATCGAGGGGCTCCTGTGAGCATAAAAGTGACGATTGTAGGACTTGCGGGGAAATCCGTTAACTTATCACATTGAAACCTTAGTTCGTTTAACGAAATTTGTTCGAAGTCTTCTAAAATACAGAGAAATTAATATATTTCCATCAAATTTGTGATGTGAACTCTTAATGAAATTCATAGAAAATAGCATCAAAAAATATCAGTACAAAGGACTCACCATCCTTTCGTGGGCGGCCGAACCGAACTCCACGTTGCTGCCTTGACGGAAGGAGACACTTTGCGCGCCGGTGAGACTGCCCAAGCCACCGGGCTTACTGCTATGAACAATGGTCATGTTTTACAAAAAAAAAAAAAAAACACTATCGTCTTCGCGATGTACTGTACTTTATCGAAAGTTATTATTACTTACAACGGCCGTTTCTTCAGGACCATGAAGACCGCAGCAATGCCGAACAGCACCAGCAGAGTCACAACTATAGGAATGACTATGGCAGCGGTGGATCCGCCTGCTATGGCAGCGACCGCCGCCATTTCGCAGAATTCACCGTGAAATTCTTCACGGCAATTGCACGCCAGCTTATCGTCCTCCTCTCGGCACCGGCCGCCATTTTGGCAACGGCATATCCTGGGTGCCGGCAAGGGTCTCTCATTAGTAGCGTCACAATGCCTCTCGTTATCGTCTCTGATAGGCCGTTGAAGAGGACCAACGCTGTCCGAGCAGAGACAACGATGTCCGCCGGGGATTGCGACGCAAAGATGAGTGCACTGATCGTTGTGGCATGGGTCTCTCAGAGTAGTGTTGTATCTCAGCTGGTGGTAGATCCTAACGCCTCCGGGATTAGGGAGATTCTTGATAATAACGTTCGGCACTCCTCTGCCAAACTTGTCTTGTCGGACGAGCTCGCCGGTCTGCTTGGTGGTCCAATAAAGATTGTTCTCGAAGACATCCAACGCCACTGGATTCTTGAGGGATCTACCCCTCAGGACGATTCGCCTGTTGTTGCCGGCTAAACTGATCGCCTCAATGGTGTCCAATTTGCTGTCGGACCAATAGAGCGTGTGCTCCATGGCGTAGTCGATGGTCAGCGCCGAGGGACTGGCGATTCGTTCCGTCACGAGCATCTTACGTCTGTCACCATCCATCCAAGCAATCTCGATCTTCGGCTGAATACCCGCATCAGCCCATAACAGTTCCCCACGTTCGGGATCCACGGCTACCGATGTTGGTTGCTCGAGATTCACAGTGACCAGGCTACGTCGGTATCTGCCGTCCGACTTTGACACCATGACTCGACCGTGCAAAGTGGCCCCTGTCTCGTCGACTTCGCTCCAATACAAGTTGTCGGAGATCCAATCCACCGCCAAACTCGTCGGCTTAGACTCAGCTGCGAGGATTGATGTTAATATAAGTAAATACAGAGGATTTTCTCTCATTTATACCACCCCACCCCTTTATTTTTCCTCGGTTAGTCACTTACAGAGTCTTTGTTAATACAAATTAGAGAATTCTACATGACTCGTTTATTAATTAGATAAAAGTATTCACGTGTATCTAATCGAAGTATGAAATTCTCTCAGTTTATCCCCACAAGATATCTTTATTATTTATCTATATTTAAATTTAACCATCCGCTGATTCACGACCTTTTTAATTAAAGGGGCAATACGTACTCTTCATGTTGAGGTCCTGGGCATATCCAACTTTCGCTTCGCCTTTCCTCGCGTTCACCATGTAAGATCGTTTGATGGTGTTGTCGTAGGAATCGATCCAGAAAACATACTCCGCTTTAGGGTCGAAGTCGATGGCTTGCACTTGCTTCTCGTCGCCAATCACGTCTATTTCCTGTTTGGTTTGCAGACCGTAGGCTCTGACTTCGGGGCCATCGGCAAACAGTACGACGGTGTCGTCATCTTCGGCACGGCACACACCACTGTGACCGTCCGACAATTGGAAACCTTGCCGGCAAGAGCAGGCGTAAGAGCCGTTCAGGTTCGTGCAAATATGAGAGCATTGATGCAGCCCGGTTTGGCATTCATCGATATCCTCGCAATGCTTTCGGTTGTCTTTCGAGATTATATAGCCGGGATAACAAGCGCAGATGTAGCCCTTGTCGGTGGTGTTGTGGCACAGATGAGCACAGCCGCCGCGGTCGGTCGCCGAACAATGATGAACGTGATCTGAAAACGCGGCTACCTTGTAGCACACAGATTGCGGGGTGAGGGGGGGGAAGCGTATCCCATTGAAACTCACGGCATCCTAATTCATCCGACAAATCGCCGCAGTCGTCCGCGAGATCGCAGAGCTTCTCGCGTTCGATGCACTTCTTATTCGCACAGGTGTATTCCGACATCGGGTTGCAGGGCCGCGTCTGTTTCACACATATCGTCATGTTATTCTCGTCGGAGCCGTCGCCGCAGTTGTCGACCCCGTCGCACAACTGGTACTTGGCGATGCACTTGTGATTCGCGCACTGGAACCGCCTGTGAGTGTCGCACTCGAAGTTCGCTGTATAACAAATATAACGGATGTGGTTTTTATTCCTATCGGAGACGAATTCAGGTTGAATATCACTCGACAATTACGTCACATTATATGAGAGAGGGGAGCTTCCGTTAGCTTCGCCTGACGTAATCGTTGAATGGCCAAGTTGACATGTGTGTCGCAGCATTGAACTCACCGCACATGGTGGGTTCCTCGTCGGAATTATCGCCACAGTCATCGGTACCGTCGCAAACGTCGGTCAGTGCGGTGCAGAGATTGTTGTCGCATTGGAATCGCGATTGCGGGCAATACCTGCCGCCAGGGTACTTCGCTGGACAGTTGATCTCGTCGCTCATGTCGCGGCAGTTGCGCACCCCGTTGCAACGAAGGTACGACGCGATACAGTGACCACTCTTGCATTGGAAACTATTAGACTGCAACACACAAAGAGATCATCTTTATCCTCCTTCCGTATTTTACACTTTAATTCTCCGTTCCTCTGTTATTTCGCATTAGATACGTGATCAGCCGGCTGTTTACTTTCCACATCCGGGGAAAATTTTCTATACGCAATTAATATGTATAACGATTATGTATAATTATATGGAATATATACAAAAATACCAACCACGCGTATGGTTCGATTAATCGTCGCGTTAAAAAATCCGACGATGATAAATTTCGTGATAAATTTCGAGATCTTTGACACAAGCTTGACGGAGATCTTGACACGTACCATGCACACCCACTGATGGCAGTCTTCCTCGTCGCTGTTGTCGTCGCAGTCATCCTCGCTGTCGCATCTCCACCTGGACGCGATACACTTGCCATTCTTGCACTTGAACTCAGATTCCGAGCACTCGCGGTACTTATCCTTGCACATCGCTTCCATCTCGTCGCTACCGTCCCCGCAATCGTCGGCGAAATCACAAAGCCACTGTTTCGGCACGCAGCGATTATTGGCGCACTTGAAGTCCATCCTGGGATCGCATTTCGGACAGTTCTCCGGACGCTCGTCCGAACCATCGCGACAATCGTCTTTGCCGTCGCAGAACAGCCACTTCGGAATGCATCGGTAGTTCGCGTGACCTGGACATCGTTGCCACCCGGTCGTGCAGTTCCTTTGTCGGCACATGTAAGCCGGCTCGTCACTGTCGTCCCCGCAATCGTTGTCGGAGTCGCACATCCACAGCTTGGGAATGCACTTGCCGTTCTTGCAGCTGAATTCAGTGCTCTGGTCGCATGCTTGCTTGCCTAAAAAGCGATATAATTAGAAAGGAACTAAAGGATTGTTGATTTTAAAGGTTTGTTATATATATATATATATTTTTTTTTTCAAATTTGCAGTTCTTAACGTTGTACGCAATGTCATCGTGAAAGAATGTGTTATGTAAGAGACGACTGATAAATATGACAAATATATTGTACTGACGACAAATAGAGGGGTCCTCATCGCTGCCGTCCTTGCAATCAGCATCTCCGTCGCACTTCCAGGAGTCGTGTATGCAACGACCGTTGGACTTGCACTTGAATTCGAGCTCCCCGCACTCGAGCGCACACTTGGCCTCGTCGCTCTTGTCGCCGCAATCGTCGGCCCCGTCGCAAATCGTCACGGTCGACGTGCAGTTCCCGTTCACGCACTGGAACATGCTCGCCGCGCAATTCCTCGCCGGGCAGCTCGGCGACTCGTCGGAGCCGTCCTTGCAGTCCTTCTCCCCGTCGCACCTGTGACGCAAATTCATCGTGATCCTTCCGGCCGGCAGAAAATATACGGCGCAAGTAAATCTCACCTCCAATACCAAGGGATGCACTTCTCGTCGGGCGGTCCGCAACGATGCTGGCCCGCTGTGCAGTTCGAGATGCACGTCTTGCCGTCCTTGTCCAGGATGAACTGGTTCGGGCACTTGCACTTGAAGGACGTAACTCCAGGTTGGCCGTATCCTTCGAGCAGGTATGAGCTGGCGGGCGGCGCGATCAGGCACAGGTGGGAGCAGCCACCGTTCTTCTCGGAGCAAGGGTTGTTGTAAGGCAGCTGCCGGAGAGGGTGGTACGCGTGGATGTCGTAAGGCCGATGAGTGGTGTTGCGCAACATCTTCAGACGAGCGCCGGAGAACTTCTCCGCCTTGCTGATAGCCTTCAGATTCCAATCGGTCCAGTAAATGAAGTCGTCGAACACGGTAATGGCGAAGACGTGCGGCACGGAAGTGCCCGACAGAACGATCCGCCGATTGTGGCCTTCCAGGTCTGCGAATGCGATGTAGTCCAGGTGAGCGTCCGCCCAGAAAATACGGTCGGTGAAGTAGTCGATTGTCAGGGCGTTCGGCCAGGCGATGTCGTCCTCCCACGTAAGAATTCGAGTGAAGTTGCTACCGTCCATGCCCATCTTGCCGATGTACGCCTGGAATTGAAGGAAGCCGTGTTCAATGAACGGAAGCTCTCTCGCTATTAGCCGAACAGCAGGATGATTCACCTGAAGGTGCCACGATGTGAAGTACAGGTATCCGGTGCCAGGGTGGACCGCGATCGCGCGTGGATCCGCTATTCCGGACTGCAGGGTCTTCCTGTTGGTACCGTCGAGCTCGGATACGTCCAAATGTTTCGCATGCCGATCCAACCAATATAATTTCCGGCCGACCCAGTCGATGGCTATCCCTTCCAGACCCAAACTATCGTGGCGAATGATGGCCTCCCTTTCGCCACCGTTTATCGGCGCTCTGGATAAGAGAAACGGATAATAAAGGAGAAATTGAATTCACTTGAGTCAGACCAATTGGCTCATTCAGACAGACCTGTATATCGTCTTCGCGGTGACGTCACAGAAGTACAGCATTTGCATTGCGTAATCCGCGTCCAGCGCAACGACGTTCACCAGGTTCTGATGCATCAGGCTGTAATTGCGCGCGTCGATCGACATGTTTCTAACGTAATACTTGTTCGTGAATACGATCCACGGCTGAATGTTGTCCCTGCGCTTGCACGTGTGCTCGTCGGCCTCTCTCTCGTACCAGCGTTCGTTGCACTTGCAGTAATAACCGCCGGGCGTGTTCTCGCATTGCTGGCTGCACACCTGAGGTGTCTCGATGCACTCGTCGATGTCGTCGCAGGCCTTGCCGTCGGCCAACAGCTTGTAGCCGGGATTGCATTCGCAGTAGAAGCTCGTCGGGGTGTCCACGCACTTGTGCCCGCACTGATTCAACTCGATACGAGCGCACTCGTCCACGTTGCAATGCAGGGGCTCGTCGCTCTCGTCGGTGCAGTCCGGCTCCTTGTTGCACACCAGCTGCGAGTCGATGCAGATGCCGTTCGCGCACATGAAGTCCTTCGGATTCGGACACGTGGTGTTCTTCGCTTTAGACGCTGGAAAGAGAGTAATATCTTAATCGCGGAAAGCTCTCGCAAGAGGATTAACAGGTTGACTGCCGAGTTGACTTTCAACTTGTTAAAAAAGGGAAGATCGAGGATACGTTCTAGAAAGAATTCAGATTTACCTAACTTGCGGACCTCCGTGTCTCTTGACATCCAAGTTTGAATGCGTTAAAAGAGATTAATTAAGGGTGACAATCAACGATCGGGTGGATGAAATTGTACTTACGACATCCCACTTCGTCCGAGTGGTCACCGCAGTCGTCTTGGTTGTCACAGCGGAACTGCTTGCGTATGCATTTGAAATTCTGACAGGTGAACTCTTGGCTGTTGCACTGCTTGTATTGGGAGTTGCAGAAATTCCCCTCGTCGCTACCGTCGCCGCAATCGTTGTCATGATCGCACAGCCAGCTGCGATTCAGGCATCGGCCGTTGTTGCAGGTGAACTGATTCTCGGCACACGGCGTCGGCGCCGGGCAATGGTGCAAGGTCACATTCTCGTCGGCCCCGTCAACGCAGTCCGGGTCTCCGTCGCACAGCCATTTCTTCGGAATGCACTGAGCGCGGTTCCACATCTTGTTCGCGTCGCAAGTGAATTCGGTCTCTTCGTCGCATTTTCTGTCGTCTGGAAGTTTAATCGGACCTTCAGAACTCCACAGTCGTAGCATTTCACTATTATCACAATTCGTATTGAAGTATTATAAACGTTAAAATATTTATGAATACGATGAGAAAGGAAGTGATGAAATAAATGAATATGACGATTGGAAACACTTACTGCATTGATGACGTTCGTCCTCATCGGAGTTGTCCAGACAGTCATTGTCCCCGTCGCATATGTAGATTCTAGGGATGCAGTTGCCGTTGTCGCACGTGAACAAGTCACCGAAGCATGTCCTACCCTCGGACTGGCAGTAACCAGGAGGCTCGTCGCTCCCGTCCAAGCAGTCGTCGTCTCCGTCGCAATACCAAGTAGCTGGAATGCACCTGTAACGAACAATACACTCCTATATTAAAAACACCGCCCATTACACACAAGAAGGTTGAAGTAATCTCGTGAAGAAGAATTTTCCAAACGTTTTAAGAAATCTGGTTATTATAGAATTATTTGACAAACGCAAAAAGAGAGATTAACCTATGATTAGGACAGCGGAAACTATTTTGCGGGCAAGTCCTCTGGGCGCAATGGATAGGATTCTCATCGCTATTGTCGCCGCAGTCATTGTCACCGTCACAAAGCCAGTAAGGTTCGACGCAGATGTTCGTCTTCTCGCACTTAAGGTGATTCAGGGGACACGTGGTGTTGCGAGGACAACGCTCGTGAGTCTCGTCCGAGGTGACATTGTCCTTGCAGTCGTTGATGCCGTTGCACACCTGCGACTGCGGGATGCAACGATAGTTGGCGCAGGTGAATTCGCCTGGCGCGCAGGGCGGATAAACGCAGCCCTCCTCGTCGCTACCGTCCCGACAGTCGTTCTCGTGATCGCACTTCCACGTTTTGAAGATGCACCGGCCGTTGTTGCAACGGAACTCGTTCGGGCTGCACGAGTGATAGGCTAAAACGAAGGGGGTTTTTAACGAACCGCTTCCCCTTTGGCGGTGTTCCGCCTTTGTTCACCGACTTCTCTCTTTCCGAACGTTTCCCGTTAGAAAAGCAGACAAGTCGGGAAACAAAAAGCTTCTCCCCGACTTTTCCCACTTACAACAATAATTCGTGTTCTCGTCGGAGCCGTCGCCGCAGTCATCGTCGCCGTCGCAAGCCCACATCCTGGAGATGCACCTGCCGTTCCTGCAGGCGAACTTGCTGGCGTCGCAGGTAACATTCTTCGACACGCACATCCTGTTCTCGTTCACCAGCCGGCTGTTGTCGTCGCACTTGCACTCGGCGGAGCTGTTGTGGCCTGGATGGCAGGACTGATCACAGCCGCCGTTATTGATGTTGCAGGGATTAACGGTGCACTGTTGCCTGGCGGCGGAGAAGACGTGAAGGTCGCGCGGGGAATCCTCCAGCCGCTTCACCAGCTCGATCTTATCGGCCCCGGTGTGCTTTTCCGCTCGATAAACCCCACGAAGCTGCAGATCCGTCCAATAGATATGCTCCCGAAACACGGTGATGGCGAAGGGGTAGATGGTAGCGCTAACTAGAACCTCCCTGTTATTTCCTTCGAGATCGGACCGCTCGATTTTCTCGCGCACAGCATCGGTCCAGTATAACATCCGGTCGTCGTAGTCGATCGCCAGACCGCTGGGTTGCGACAGATCCTTGTCGATGATGGCGTGTTTCAGCGATCCCGCCATGGTCGTCTTGAAGATCTTCCCGGACGTCCCGAAGCGGCCCCAATCGGTGAAGTAAAGCGAACCGTTGCAGGGATCGACCACGATCGCACGCGGGCGATCTACGCGCGCGATCATCACCAAGTTCGACCCGTCGATGTCCATCGCGTAGATACTGTTGTTGGACGAGTCCGTCCAATACACCTTCTTCTGAGTCCAATCGTAGGAGATGCCCTCGGGATTAATTCCTTTGCTGATCAGCGTGTGCAGATCGGACGAGGCTGGCCGGTCGGCCGGCGTCCACGCGATCTTCGCCCAAGGGCGAATCTGAGTGAACAATAGCTTCTTATCCTGATAATCGAAGTCCACACCGACCACGTTCGTCAGATTGCCAACCGGCGCGAAAGGCACGTTCGTATTGTGCGGGTCCAGGTTGATGGCGCGAATCTCCGTTCGCGTGGCGAAAACCAAGTACTCCTCGACGTTCTCGCAGGTGTGGCCGTCGGCGGACAGTTTGCCCACCGCGCAGTCGCAAGTGAACGGCTTCGGATTGTCCTTCGGGAAAGCGAAGCACAGCTGAGAGCATAAGCTGCCACTCAGCTCCTGTGGAGGCAAAGAGAAACGTTATTGTTGGTTAGCTACGCGACGGTGCATCGTTTCTTTTCAAGCGAATAACCACATATATGTAACTCGGTTCATCGCGATACCTGCGCGCAAGGATTGCTTCGATCAGACGGCTGACTGCTCTGGTCAAAGATGGCGATGTCTCTCAGCTTCTGCAGATTAGTTCTCACAGGCATCGGAAGACTGGTATTGCCCTTCAATTTGCTCGCTCTGAAGACGGTGGCTAAATTCCGGTCCACCCAATAGACATCTCCGCCGAAAATGGCGACGCCCATTGGATTCGGCAAATTCCTGCGGATGATCTCCCGATTCCCGCCGGTGTAGGACACTTTCTGGATGGTGTCCAGTTTCGAGTCCACCCAGTAAATATCGTGCGTCGCGGGATCGATGGTGAGATCGCGCGGTGTGCTGATACCGGACGTCACGATGGGGAACCAGTTGCTGCCATCGAGGAAGGCCTTGACTATTCGAGGATACTGTCCGTAATCGATCCAATACAGATATCGCTTGATGGGGTTCACAGCGAGCTCGCGAGGAGCATCCGTGGTCGTCTTTGCAAGTACTTTCCGGTTGGAGCCATCCAACCAGCAAACCTCCACATAGTTGTCATGGGGAAAGACATTAGCAAAGTACAAGTTTCCGGCGATCCAGTCCACGGCCAGGCCGCGGATTCCGTTGGAACCGATTCCCTGTTTGACCACTTGTTGCAATTCCGTGCCGTTGGGTCGTATCCTGAAACGAAATTCACGTTGTACGACAATCCACGGTACTGAACATAAACGCGTGAATAATTTCGCTTTACCTGAAGATACCATTCCAAATGCCTCGGTTGAACTCCACCCAATATATCCAATTGCCCGCATAATGCACGTCCACATGCAGAATGTGATGACCAACTCCAGCGATGGGTATCATGGCCTCCTTGGAATCCTTGAGACTGTAGCCTCTGGCAACGTCCAGCTGAGTGACCACCGCGAATGTCTTGTAAGGTTCACACCTGGTATCACTGATCTTCCTGTATTCCATTCCACAGGCGCAAACACGAGTGCCTCCCGACGCGGGTAGACACAGCTGCTCGCAGCCGCCGTTGTTGATGAGACAAGGGTGAGATCCGGTGGCGCGTTTCTTATAAATAGTCAGAGTGCGAAGCTCAGAGTCATTATCGATGAGAGTGACCGGATTGTCGCCGTTAGGCAGATCGACACGCTCGACCTTATCGTAACGTGGATCCAAATAGTACAAACGAGAATCGTGCACGGCCAACGCCTTCGGCAACATCAGGTTATTCGCCGCAGTGAGGATGGTGCGGACGTTCAGGCCGTCCGTCGACATGGCCTTGATAAAAGACGGATTTTGCGAGGAAAAGTACAACGTCTTGCTGGGAATGTCGATAGTGATGGCCTCGGGACGTTCCAAGTTTTCCACGAGAATTAACGGGTTACTACCGTCCATATTTACTCGTCCGATCTTCTGCGGCACTCCGAAACCACCCTCGTCCACCCAAAACACCTGACCGTCAATGGGATCCACGCACATTGCTTTCGGCTTAGAGACCGACGTCCGGTTGCCATCGTTCGCCAAAATTATCGTACGAAACCGCGTTTTGCCGTCCAACTTAATGGCCTCGATGTTGGATGCAAACTTGTTGCCAATAAACAAATTGCGGCCAAGCCAGTCCAACGCCATGGTGGATGGTGAACCGACGATGCCACTGTCGCCTTCCGGATTAGGGAACTCTGTCCTGTTACCACCGTTGTAGGGAATGGTGTAAACTGTGCCATTCTCGTCGTCGCCGTCTTTACCTGATAATTGGTAAACTGATTTAGTTGTCGAAGGTTTAAAAAAGAATAGAATCCTAAACAACTTTGAAAATCGAAATCATAGAGTCGGGAACTCGAATAATTGCCCGGGTTGTTGTTGATACCTTGCAGCCAGTAGATGATACGATTATTTCGGTCGTAATCGATGAATCTGCCGCCTTCCACGCCGACTACGGGTGTGATATATCCAGTTTTGACTTCTCCGGGCGTCAAGGAAACGTCAACAATCTGAGACCCTCGTAGGATCATCAAGTATGGCGTTTCTTCTTCCGTGCATCGGCCATCGGGCGACAATTTGAATCCAACCTAGAATGAATATCGGAGAGAAATGAGGCACATCAAATCTAAATAACGGTTATCTTTAGCGTGAGTGCTTACTTGGCACTTGCAACTGTATCCCGTTGGACTGTTGTGCGATAAAAGACACAGGTGTTCACACATCGCATTGGCGCAAGGATTCGGAGTGATCGGCTGCAGTACCGGGTGATGCACGTGTATGGAGAGAGGCTGCGAGATTAAATGCGACACCACCGTCTGATTGGAGCCCTTGAACTTGTGCGCTGACAGCACCCGATTGAGCTGCCTGTCAGTCCAATACATAGTGTCCTCGAAGAGTGTGAGAGAGTGAGGATGCAGGAGGTAATGGGAGCTGGCTAAAACTTGGATCCTCTTACTGCCGTCATAGAGACAAGTGTCGATAAAGTCCAGCTTGCTGTCTGCAAAGTAGATTCTACGGTTCGCGATATCCAGAGCCAAGCCGTTAGGCCAATAGATCTTCGTGTTGATGATAGTCGATCGGTTATTGCCGTCCATTCCGATTCTTTCGATTCTAGGGTTCTCCCCCCAATCGGTCCAGAAGAGCCATCTCGCTCGTGGACTGGGATCCAGACACATACCACGGGGTTGCGTGATGTTCTCCTTAACGAGTACCATCCTTCCAACTCCGTTTTCTTTCGCCACTTCAATCGTATTCAGCTTCGAGTCCAGCCAGTACAGATTATGACCGATCCAGTCGTAAGCGAGACCTTCCACCAGGTCTAGGCCGGTACTGATAATGTCCTGGGGATCACTACCTCGGTCCAACCGCGAGATTCTCTTTAGCTTCATATCGGACCAGAAGATAGTACCGGTGTGCATATTGCTGGCGGTCGCCACCACGTTCTCCACATTGATAGGAACTCGTTCGAGCGCTTGGTCCTGAAGATCAGCCACCAGAATGGTGTGCCTGTTGGAAATAATTAAGAAGGCGGCGCTGTGATTGTACGCCTTGCAGGTGTGCTTGTCTTTCTCCAACATGTAACCCTCCGTGCAGTCGCAGTAATAGCTGCCCTTCGTGTTCACGCAGATCTGCGAGCATTTACCCGGCGGTTCGCACTCGTTCATGTCGTGACACGCGAAACCGTCACCATCGAGCTCTTCGCCAGCCGGACAAACACATTGCGCGCCAATCGGAGTCATCATGCAGCCATTGGTGCACAGTCCACCTTGGAGGATGCATTCGGAGAGAACGCAGCCGAATCCCTCGTCTCCGCCATTCGGGCAATCCACCTTGCCGTCGCACACGCTACTCGTCGGCACGCAACGATTCGTCACGTTCGGACACTTCCACTGCTGGGAGTCGCATTTGAACGGAGGAGGTCCGCATGCGTGCAGCTCGGTGCTCTCGTCCGAACCGTCACCGCAGTCGTCTTTGCCGTCACAGATATACGCCTTGAACACGCACTTGTCGTTCTGGCATCTAGGGGGAGAAAATTGACGAATCAGATTAAATTGGATTTGTGGATGAACCGAAGGAAGAAACGGCGTCGATCAGGATCTCCCGAGGATGGGAGGTTTAATCAATGAATGAAACAAACCTGAAGAATCCAGGCTGACAGTCGATCTTTCCGCAGGACTCCGGCTCGTCGGACTTGTCGGGGCAATCTGCGGTACCGTCGCAGTACCAACTTTTAGGTATGCAGATGGCTGAGCCGACACATTGGAACTGTTTGTCGGGATTGCACTGATCCGGTGCCAACGACGGGCAGCCCACTTCGTCGGAACCGTCATTGCAGTCACTGATACCGTCACACTTATACGACGCTAAAACACACATCTTCTGATCCGCACACGTGAACTGCGTGCTGAGACAAGTAACCGGCGGACAGTCCATCTCGTCCTGCTGGTCGAAGCAGTCACTGTCGCCGTCGCACACCCAAGACTGCGGTATGCAGTGGCCCGAGCGTGGACAGGTGAACTGGAAGTACGAGCAGGTTTTCGCTGCGCAGAATTCACCCTCGTCGGAATTGTCGCCGCAGTCGTTCTCGGAGTCGCACTTCCAGTTCAACGGGATGCACCGATTGTTGGCGCAGGCAAACTGGTTCGAGCTGCACGTTATATTTGGACAGCCCACCTCGTCGCTGTAATCGCCGCAGTCGTTTTCGGAGTCGCAGTGGAATGTTATTGGCACGCAGCGGCCGGACTTGCACTGAAACTCGTTCGTACCGCAAGTTGGCTTCGTGCAGTTCTGCGTCTCGTCGCTGTTGTCGAGACAGTCGTTCTCGCCGTCGCACACCCAGGACTTCGGCACACATCTGAAAGCGCCGTCAGCTGGATTGATTTCGAGACTTACGTCGAATTAATCGCATCTCTCGATTTGTACATATACACAGATTAAGCTACATTGATGTCATGTCAAGGGAACGATTTAGACGCGAATCGAACTGAGCCGAAGATGAGACATTTCGCATGGAATTATCCAGCCAAGGAGTCACGTACCTCTGATTGGCGCAAGTGAAGTCCCAAGTATGCGGGCAAGCTTGCAAGGGTGGCTCCCCATCGGGATCCGCTGCGCAACTCCTGCCGTTGCCTTGAAGACGCTCCCCGTAGGGGCATCCGCATACTTGAGTGAGCTTCGGCGAGGGCAGTATACCAGGGAAAACAATGCCGTCGGACTGTGAGGAATTATCCGGGATGGCGAAACAAAGTTTGTCGCAGCCCCCATTGTTAATGCTGCAAGGATGATTGCGCGCCGTGACCTGAATATCACGGCTGAAGACCTTCACGCCGTAGAGTCTGTTGGTGGCCGGCTCACGGACTAAGATGGCTTCCTGCTCGCCGGTCTCCTTATGAAGCCGAATAATGGCGTCCAGACGCCAATCGGTGATGTACATCCAAATCTCATGAATGGCAATGGAAAACGGATGTCGTATCAATCTCGAGTCCACCGTCCGCACGTCCGTGCCGTCTAGATTTGAGTGCTGCACGTGATCCAACAGAGCGTCGCACCAGTACAGTCGGTCCTTGCTGAAGTCAATTGCCAGGCCGTTCGGCCAGCCCAAAGTTAGATTCTTGAAAACTACCAGGTTCGAGCCGTCCGCGTGAGCCCTGCTGATGTTGGCTGGACGGTCCCATTCCGAGAAGAAGATGTAACCATGGTTCGGGTGGATGACGATCGCGCGAGGACGCTTCAGGTTCTTCAGTAGCGTCCGCCGATACGTGACGTTCCGAGTGCTGAGGACGTTCAGCGTGCCTGAAAAAGTAAAGAAATCCGGGCTCGATTCGAGAACGATCCTGTTTCATTTCTAACCCTGACACACATCGACCATTTCGACCAAATTCCGAGTCAATTAACACGAATTTGTTATCAGTCGTCGGACAATGAGGAATCAAGGAGGCTTCCGACGGACCTTTGCGCGAATCGATGTAGTACAAGTTCTTCGCAGCCCAGTCGACCGCAAGACCTTCCACCCCTTCGTTCTGGCTAGCCAGGACGATCTCCCGTCCGGTCGCGTTCTGATGCACCCTGTATATGACGTCTTGAAGAACATCGCTGTAGTAAATGTACTGGTCGTGCGCGTCATAATCCAGTCCGACGAAGCGCGCCCGCCTGGACACCACCGGCAAGATGGCGTCGCTGAAACCTTCCATCACCGGGTCGAGTACGCGGCCTTTGATGAACCTTTGCTGAGAGTACATGAGGAACTCCTGCACCAAGTTGCAGTTCCTCATGTCGCTCGCCAACCGCCAGCCGATCTGGCAAGCGCAACGGTAGCCCAGTCGGTTGCTCTGATCGCTGGAGGCGGTAACGATGCACATATGCTGGCAGCCGCCGTTGTTGTTGCCACAAGGATTGGAAACGGCGGGCTGCACGAGCGGATGCAACGCTTTTATAGCTTTAGCGTCGCGCACCTGAAAGAAAAATGACGAATCCTTAAGCACGTGACGATGATCGTGGGAGGAAAATTGCGAGCGGAATTTCTCGTACCTTAAACACGCTCTGGATGGAGTAGTCTCCCTGAGTTTTGTCGACGCTCATGACGGCCTGCTTGCTGCTGTCCGACCAGTAAATCCTGTTCTCGAAAAGGGTGAGCCTGATTGGGGATGGCACTTGAGATCCTCTGAGAATCATGACCCTGTGGCGACCCCTGTAGTCCGCCGTTTCGATGTAGTCCAACAGCGAGTCACACCAATAAATCCGTTTGGCGATAATATCGACGGCCACGCCGGAGACTTTGTAAGCCGCTTCCGAGACGACGGGGAACGCGTTGGTGCCGTCCATGTTGGTGCGGAGAACCTGCTTGCTATCGGCGATGAACATGAGGCCTCTCGTGGGATCCAACGCGATGTCAGCCGGGTTAGTGAGATTGGAGCCGACGACGATTCCATGATAGCGTCCGTCCAGCTCGAATACGTCCACCTTCTGCACGATGGAGTCCGCCACGTACAATTTATCACCGACCCAATCGACCGCGATGGACACGGGTCCCCAGGAGCCCGCCATGCTGATGTCCGCCTTCCGTACCACGTTGCCGAAGTTCAGAGACTCCGAGTGTACCTTCCGCGTCTTCAAGTCGCTCCAGAAGAGCAAACCCCGCGAGTACATGTAGTCCAGCCCGCTGGCACCGGTCGTATTCGCGATTATCCTGCGATCCTCGCCGTTGGCGCTCAGCCGCCACACCGCGCGGTCCTGGGCGAGCAGAAGCTCCAGGGAAGAACTGTTCTGGGTGCGACACTTGTTGCGACCGTGAAGGGTGTAGCCGGGCACGCAGCTACACGTGTACGAACCGTCGTTGTTTTCGCACAGCTGTTCACAGAAGCCCCACTCCGAGCATTCGTCCCGATCTGCACGGAAAATGCCCGATCGATCAGCCGTACGGAACGTACGATGACAAACGATCGGTGGATTCTTTTAGCAAGTGTGTTTTCTTCCTCTCACTCAGAAATCCCGAGTCTTGAAATCCTTTGGAAATTGACCGTTGGATTTTGACGAATCGTGTAAACTTACCGATGCAGGTCCTTGAATCATTGGACAGGATTCTTCCCTCAGGACAATAACAAGTCCCTCCAGTGGGCGACGCTTGACATTTGTGCTGGCACCCAAGCAGGCTGCACATACTCGTCGCTGTATGATAAAAAGTTGCTAAGTTTATGTAAGTTTGTGCGCCTCGCCGGCTCACTATCGCGTCTCTCGATGACTATCAATAATCGTAATCATCATGACAATGATCTTACGGGATCGGACACTTTCTTTCGAGCCTTACCGGGAAAGCAACGAAATTTCGCGCAATTCCGTTCCGTCTCTCCTAGACTTAATATTCGTGGAGGAACGTGCAAACACTTACAGCATGCCGCTTCCTCGTCCGCCCCGTCCTCGCAGTCCTGTTTTCCATTGCACAGTTGAGACTGATTGATGCACAATGGCTTGCCATCTGGTGCACCCTTTGGGCACATAAACTTATTTCCTGGACAAACTGTCATTGTACAGGAACGCTCGTCCGAATTATCGTTGCAGTCATTGTAACTATCGCATTGATATGCTATAGGGATGCAGAGCGCATTGGCGCACCGGAACTGATCGTTGGTGCAAGGCGGGAAATCTGTGGTACCATCGAAGAAACTTGTTTGAGCGATTACTTGAACAATCTCCTCGCATATCGATACTTAAACTTCAATTTCGCAACTGAATACGCGTCCATTGAGATCCCCCAAAACGGCTCAAAAGCTCAGTCTGATTCAACGTTAGAAATACCGCACTGTCGTTTCCGAATGTTTCCATTTTTCAGATTAATACCTTGCTTCTTGGGTGTGAAAACTAGGATTCTGAAATTGTACGAATTTTCATCAATCATTTAACGGAAGGATCCCTGTCTTTTACGCAAGAAATATGATATTAATCTGAAAATAGAAAACGATCGCTCGGCATTTCTCATGTTAAGCCGAGAAAATGAAGGAGGGCGAAATAGAACGAAGAATGTAAACCGAGGGTCTGAACGTCACTCATCCGGAAGCAAGGATAACGACGAAAAGAGAGCGAAGCACCGAACAAGTTGAAAACCGTGAACTCACTGCAATGCTCCTCGTCGCTGTTGTCGCCACAGTTGTCCCTGTGATTACACCTCACGCTTTGGTCAATGCAACGCTGCGTGGTGTTACATCTGAACTGGTCCAGCCGGCAGGCCGGCTTCGACAAGTTTATGCATCCTTCCTCGTCCCTGCCGTTTCGGCAGTCTAGGTAACCATCGCATCTTTTCTCTTTGGGTATGCACAGCTCCGGCGTGGTGCCGACGCATCTGAAGTCGTCCGGCTGACATTTTCTGTACGCTGCAACGAACACCGAATTTTCTCGTCATCTTTTCGCGAGCGCCGTGAAATTTCCAAGGAAAACTGTGATTCGTGTGCGAGGGATATTATGTTGAAGCAACGTTGAATACAGAATGCACACACGGGTGTGCCTTTCGCCGTGTACGGCCGATAAAAGCGCCTCCGATGAGCGCGTGCTTGCGGATGGAAAACGTGACAAACGGAGCGGACGCATGTCGCTTTTGCGCAACGTCCAAAAGTGATCCCGAGTTGATCACGCTTCTGCGTCGAAACGGCGAAAGCGCGATAGCTCACATTAGCTGCGCACAATACGCGGTCATTATTCCGACGATCACCTGTTGCGGACACGTTCGCGCCGCTGATAAACGCGCGGAACGAGCTTCGATACGTCACTCAGAAACGTGATTCTTCTCGCGCGACAATACGCAAAGGCAGCGGGAGAAGCATAGAGAAACAGAGAGACTTCGGAGGATTTTCAGGTCAGAACCGTAGATCAGCTGCTGGAACGTCGCCTGAAACGTTGCTTGGATTTTTTTCCCCGAGAATAGTATATGGTAACGTGACGACGCGTAAATTCGCGCGAATTTAAATTGCAATTGCGACGATTGGAGGTGTTTTGAATTCAGCGCTGCCAGCTAGAAGATTAGAATATATATGTATGAAATATATGTAAAATAATCGGTAAGTTTTGAAATGAAACTTTTCGGAAACTTGGAAAATTGGTAATCACAGGTAGTGGAAAAGTTTGGACCTCGGGAATGGTCTTCTCGAGGAACGGAGGATAAAGGTATCATCGATGGGATGTTTACAAATTCCAGTCGTCGCTTGTGCAACCACAGTGAGCGTAAGATTACTGATTTAACAATACACGGAATATCGTCCGAGTTATCGCGACGGGGTGATAATTTAGCTGCGACGGCCGCGAAGAAATCTGCCTAATCGGGGACACAGCTGTTCGCTTGGCCATGCACTCATGTGAGCGGCCTTGTCACTGACGATAATGTTATCGAGCGATGCCTTTCGGCACCGCATATCCGCGATAATTAATAATGCCTTTAAGTGCCTACGACAATGCGCTCGCGGGATCTTTGCGACCGTTTATTAATACGCGCGTTTTTTGCACCGTTCGCCAGATTGAATCGCTTAGAAATACTCGAGACGGTTAGTTGCACTCGGTGAATTGTAATAAATCTGGCGCGTGCTCTTAGTTGACGGAAATGTCGAGGATGTATTGCCCATTAATGCCGTATTTTCAGTGGCGCGTCGAGAGGGCCATAAATTTAGCATTTATCAAAATTACGGTCCCTTCACATTTCTTTCGCTGCTAAATAATAAATATTAATTGAAAAAGAAGCCTAGGCGGACAGGTTCCATCGCATTCTCATCAAACTTCTTTTACCTTACGAGTTTATCTTGATTCGTTTGAAGTAGAACAACTTTTGATCCGGCCTCGGAATTATTGTCAAACGTCCGGTGTTACTTTTATAATACAATGTAAATCAATCAGCAATTTTTTCATAATTTTCTCACTATTTTAAAGTGTTCAGTTTTTGTTTTCCACGTTGTAATTAGTGGTATTAATAGTACCCGGAAGTAGCCGAAAGACTGCTCGGGTATCCGGGTATCCGGATATCGACACCACTGGTAATTCTATTAAAGCTGTGTACGTTTTAGTAAGAATATAACGTGCCGGGTGTATTTCTCGCCGCTTCTCTAACGTGTCGCCTGATCAGTTAGAGCGATCGCTAAGAAAGGTAAAGAGGTGGAATACAGAGTAGGTGGAGTAATACCGCAACGCGGATGATAAAAGTAAGCGGAAAGGGTTAATGATGACAGAAGTGATTGCAATTTGTACTCACTACAGCCGTCCTCGTCAGTGCCGTCGACGCAATCGACGGTCATGTCGCATCGTTGATGCGGGGGTATACAGTATGTCTTGTTGAAACTATACTGGCCACACGTGATCTGACCGATATCGCATTCGGGCGGCGCTGAAAAACAAATGGATCGTCAATGAATAAATAAAAGTTTCTTATTCGGTATTGCAGAAAAGCAATACCGAAAACGCACGTGGATAGCGCTCTTTGCGAAACGAATCGAGAGATCTTGAGAGGTGTTTGGACAGAAACTTCCCCCGTCAGAAAGCTAATAACTCAACACGTTTCGTCTACGTTATGGACTGTAACGTTCGCAAATATTTGCCGAGAATGCATCGCAGGTCTCTAGATAAGTGAGAGTTGAAACTGTAAACACCGCGAGCGTGGTCGCATCTGCGGGCTCGGTGATCGAATTAACAATCGCACACGGTCCGTTGAAAACTGAATTCTCGACATTATGATAGACGTAAAATTTTCTCAAGGAACTCTCCCTTCCTAAACAACACGCATGTCTGAAAGACGCGCGTCTCAAAGATTTTCTTATCGCCGTAAGAGATGTATTTACGACGTTTTAAGACGTCTTAATGGTATCTGGCCTCTTTCGCAGTTTTCATACGACGTATTCGATTGGATGCACTGGCGCACGCTAAGCCCGTGGTTCACAGCCTGCTTTTATACTTTATATTTAAAATTATTTAAAATTTTTATATTTACGATCGTCTGAAGTTGATTTTATTTTATAGGCGCCACGATAGCCGATAAAACGGTCCGTGCAGCGCCCGAAGATGAACTGTAGTTGATTTTCAATATAAAAACAAACTGCGAATACGGCCTTAGTGCGCACTAGTGCATCCATTCGCATCCGCCAATAATTAGCACGCGACCAAGAACTCAGAACACATAATGCACATCGTATTTACGGAGGGGGGTTTCTGTTTTGAGAATCGTCCGAAATTCTCTTAATCCGCGCGAAAATGCGAGGCGACAAAATTCTGAGCCGCCTGATCTGCGTGCATTGTTGAAGATTCAACGCGTAAACCGCAACATACGGAGAATGGTTCGACGCTACGGGAGAGGCGCAAATTGCGTCGGTGCTATAATTGCGCGATGCATAATCAGCCGGTCGTCGATTCGCCGGGCAATCGAGGGAAGCTCCCTCGATCCTTTAATACCGGATGACTCGACAATCACGCCGCCATGCCAGGGTATCGTTTTAACTCCGTCTTTTCGAGCAATGCGCGAAGTTGACAATTTTTAAGGGTTTTTTTTTTAGAAATAACACTTTGCGTTTAAAATGGGCCGTGCAAGCTGAGGGTCTTGGGACTTCCTTGAAAATCTGCAAATAGAGAGGGGAAAAGGATGAATATGTTAGATAATGGTTCATTGATTCGGCTTTAAGACGTTAAGGCGAATCTGTGTTAGAACGAGGCCATTTGCAGCGAATTTCTGGAAAAGTGATCGGGTGGATATCGAGGAGAAAGTCCTCGGTCGCAGGTATTGGAATTGATTCCATGCAAAACAAGGTACAATCGTGCCAGTGGGTCCGTTTCATCGAATGACACGCGGTAGCGGCACTTCTACACGTTGTCCTCGAAAGAGGGTCACAGCCTTGCTTCCGGTTCTGACATTGTCACCCGCATAACAAACGCCCGGTTGCTTCGCGGGGGCCTGAAGAAATGGTAAATCCTCGGAGATATAAAAGGAGCGCTTTAAGAGAGAATTAAATGCGATTAACATTCCAAGCAATGAATCTCTCGATGTTCTCGAGAACGATCGATATTGTGCCGAAATGTTCAATCTTACAAGTGACAAGTTGTTTATTCGATTTATAACAAACACGAGTATACGTTTGGAAAATTATAAACCACCTCTGAGTGAATATAAAGCTAGAATTTTGCATACTGTACACTAAATAAATATTGTGCAACAAAATGCAACAAAATAAGCTGAAGAGAGATGAAAAATTGTCTTGAAAAAAGTTATGCACATTTTCATTTTCCAAATGATTTTCATACGGTCTTAAAACAAACGACATTTTGCGTTTTAATTATTGCCGATGTTTTGACTGACACCCATCCTTCTTTCCACTTCAAAATGACGCGGGTTTTAACCGTACGGAAAGATAACACGTTGCACAAACCGCACTTCATGTCACATAATATCAACGATAAGGAGCAATCACAAAAGCGAACACGCAATCGGCCACATGGAAAAAAAACTGCAGACAAAGGACCATAAGCACTTCCGAGAGGAAGTCTCGGATTTTCGTCGAGCACTTCCGGCACGCGAGAGATTCACTGTAAGCCATATATAGTTCAAGTTAGTCAACTCCATTCGTTGAAATGAAAACAGGAAGAGCGCATCGAAAATTATCCGCTTCAAGGTTGCCGTCACAATTGGCTGGAACGAATCCAAATCGAGCGGATCGATAAAAGTAATTCCAAGATGCTCGAAGCGTGAGGAAAGAGTTGTTTAATTTTTTTAAATTAACGTTTGAACGAATTGTTATAAATTTTGAAATCCCAGCCAACGTAAATCGCAAAGATTAACAGATAGTCTTTCACATTCAATTCATCTAAAATAAAAAATATAAAAATTATCTTTAGCTTCAGTGAACATTATTTCGATTCATTCGGGCTTTCCCCTCTCCCCAAAAAGAAAAACAATTTTCTGTGCTCGTATGGCTAAATAAATTTTGTCTCTGAACTTGAGCTGAACAGCAAACGTGTTGAACACTCGGACATTATTGAGACATCCATCGAGGGTTGACGTTGTTTAATGATGCTTTTATTGATGCATATGAGCATCTTTAATATTTTGATTGTGTTCCAGGGCCTTTGCAATCATCAATCCATCCCTGACATCAACAGTACTGAATGAAGGCGATGGCTTCATTCTGAAACTTCTTTCACCGAGGACTGTAATGAGGGCGGCGGACGGTCGCGAATTATACACCCATCTCCCTTTATTATTACTTAACGAAGCAATCCGTCATTAATTATTCATCAGCACGAACAGCGGAGCGTTCTTTGGACTAAACCTCTTGTCCGAAGACATGCTCCAATTTCTCCGAGATTCTAGTTCTCATACGGCAAACCATATCTTTATTGCTTCGTCTTGTCTCATCTTTCCCTGCGGGAGGCGCTTGGAATGCAAGCATTAACGAAATTCTCGTCTTCTCGCTCAGGTCACATATTTTTCTACGGTTAATCATAAGGGAAGAATGTGTAATACTTACGACACGACTGCATCTCGTCGCTATTATCAGCGCAGTCGCCACGATAGTCGCAGACGAGAATGGACTGGATGCATACGCCGTCGTTGCACATGAACATGCCATTCCCGCAGCCATCGCCTGTAACAGAAAGCATAGAACATTAAGGAATCGGCCGGGGAAGCGATATCGCTGCCGTGATAGGTGAAAGGTTCAATGCCTGCCGCCGGGGAAACTCCGTTTCTAGGTGTAACTGTTGCAGAAGGGAGGCTTCTTCTAAGTTCGAGCGAATCGTCACCCGATGAACTTTCGCGCGGCGATCGATTTCGTCACCTCGATCGCTCGCGGTCTAACAATGCGGTATTGGGGGCTACAATTAAAGGCAAGACGGTATTTTCATTGAAGACAGTCACGAAACACACAAGGAACACTTTGCACTTGTGTTCAAGTCGGTCCTCGTTAAACCATTTTTGTGTCAAACTTTTAACGTGTCCGTGTGTTAATTGAACATATTGCGTTTATGTTATCTCTATATTCCGAATTCCCGGATAGCATCAGCGAGTTTAAGAACCGGACGGGTACTAGAGTACCCGGCTATAAAAATTACCCGGTTTATACCAACAGTACTGGTACATACTTAGCGTGCGAGTTGCACGAATTGTTCGCATCCACATCGCTCGTTGGCAAAGAGAATTACTGGCGAAATAAAGTGAGATGACGACACTGCAGAGACGGTGAAACCAGTCGGAACGTAGGGGACGCGACAATTAGCAACGTCTACGAGGCAAAAATTTCTCCTTTAATCGCCGCTCTGACATGACCCGCGAGCGGAAACGCGCGATTCCCAAAGGTAGTAGCCAAATTCGTAGGCGGAGATTAAGACGACGGCAGTACATCCGTCTTCGTGACTGCGACAACAAACTATTCTTTATTAGATTCTAATTAGAGACGCGTGTACAGATTGTAGATACATTTTTATCAATTCCACTTAGAAATTATATATTTTATTAATTCTCTGTTTCGTCTAAAATATATGTCACGATAGTTTCTAAATTACAGTAGCTGTCTAAAATGGATAGGTTTTCGCAAATTGTCTTCCAATGATCGCGCAATCAGTACGATCTATAAATTTTCATAATTTTGGAGGTGGATTTCATTTCGGTAAAATTTATAGCTCATAATTAAATATAATGATATTTAATGTGTTAAAAATTATAATTTGTTTTGAATAAGGTCAGGTTCTATTAGTTATATTATGTATTAAAATTAAACGTTAAATATTAAATATTTCGGTAACAAAACTTTCGATTTACATTTCTTTTCATTTATTTTGAAAAGCAGCAGTTCAAAAATTCGTACATTTTTACAATATAACAGCATAGAATATACTGATTATTCCGAACGGTTTCAATTTTCAGACACAGCATCCGCGTAAAGGAGATAAGAAAAGATACGATAAGGAGGGACCGTTTCTTGTCTCGGTATTTTGTTTGCAGGTGGCTTTGTTCGCCGACAAATGAGGGAAGCGTCATTTACATAACGACGTTCGTGAAAAATTCCGCGTCGTTATGCAAATGCGTCCCTGTTGATATTCGAATACCGTCACTGAGCGGCTTGATGATGATGACGCGTTGCTTGAATTATTAACAATAACAAGGACAACAATAAACGAGTTTCTGCCGAGTGCTCAAAGCCGGAATAAACAGTTATAATTCGAATTTTCCTAAGAGTACTGTTCATCCTCTTGTACAGTATATATTATTATCTAAATTAAACTTTTCTTATTTCGGCTCCCTTATAAAAAATAAAGAAAGATATATGTGTACTTGGCTTATAACAGTTGCAGCCGATTTTAGAGCAAGAAAATCTCTTTGTTTATTAATTCAACATGACAATTGAAAATATGACAAATGTAAAAGACAGATATTTCGACCTATTTGAAAAATTGCGAAAATCGGCCTGCAGGAAATCCGTAACTTATTCTATAAACTTCTCCAGCTCATTACTGTTCCAAGTAAAGAAGTATCATTTTCAACCGTCCTGTTTGAGATAATGAGCTTTACTCGGCTGGAGACTATTTTTATTTCGACACGCGTTTCACAAGTTCACTTCGCCACGTTTTGAAAGGAAAAATGATCTCCTCTTCTAGAAGAGCCTATCGCGCCGCAACGGCAATCGAGGCCCATTTACGGATACTTTCCCATCGCGGGAGGATCCTTGATTGATCGTCCTTGGACGAGAAAGCGATCCTGTGATTGCTGTGCAATCGACTGACGGGATTAATGTTGAAAAAATCGGTCACGCTCGACAAACACGAAGTGTGATACATACGTAAATGGAAAATACTGGGCGAGTGCCTTTCGATGAGGACTTTTTTCCCTAAGAACAAAGACCGTAAATTATTGTTGTCAATATAAATCGAATAGTTTCTATACCCAATAACCAGATATCCGCTGAAATTCACAGGTATTAACCGGATACTCGGGTACCACCCGAACTAATTGGATACCCGATACCCGCTCGCGAGAAGAAAAATCGCAAGTAATACTCGGCTAATGTTCATCTACCATCTGTTGAGAATTTTCATAGCAACTGATTCGCATCAGCTGATTTTATCTTTCACTCTTCTAAGATACTATATACACCAATGGCGATACCCACCGGAAGAAATTCAATACGAAAGTATTTGTGGTGCTATTTACAAAAGGACCATTATATTCTTTAAGCGACACTTTCGAGATCACATTAGTGAATTTAATCCGTCAACGGCAGAGCGCAATAAACGAAATGAAAATATAATTCCTGAGCTTGTATTCTCGCATTAGTATCCAGATTTTAGGATTTTAGTCTTCGTTGCCAAGACCGCTGGTTCCGCGAGAGAAACGCGATCGTTTCGGGCGACAATCCATAAGCAAATCGCTAATTTTGGAGATCATACACATCGGCCGATCATTACTCCACGGCGTTCGTTCAGCGACGAAGCATAGATCGCTGGATCCGTGAAGGAAAGTGAGGAGAGCAGAGAGGAGGTGAGAGTAGAGGTGTGTAAGTAAGACCGCGTTTGTGTATTGTGGGTGTTTTACCATGACAAGGGAAGACATAACAGAGAGAAAGATAGGGGAAAAGGGAGAGAGAAGCTGCGGTCGATTAGAGAGAGGGAGACAATGAGAGTAGGAGAGAGACGCGATGGCACTAGAGAGGAGAGCAGAGGAGAGGAGGTGGCCCCGGCTTGGAAGTGCAGCGTTCGTGCCAGGCTGCGCGGCCTGGTACGGACAGAGAGGCGGCAGCAGTCGGGAGGGAATGTGCATTGCGGGGTAGGGATGCAAATATCGAAGACAGATAGCGATATACACTCGTGCGAAATTTTTTATTCCTACGATATTTTCATAACATTCCCAGCTGATCCCCAGTAATCTCACTGACGAAGACGAAAGAGACACGGCCTTTTCCGGAGACTTCTCGTAAATAGGCGACCGATCTCTCGGATCGCATCTTTTCAAACGTACCGCTCGGCTTTACGGGATTGAGAATCCATTGAGAGAAGAACAGAATTCAAATTGGAAAAGATCCTGAAGCATCGGTGAAATTTCAAGATCCCTCAGTCCTGAGACCACGGCGCGGTCATTTCGCGGGAGGACGTTTCCCTCTTCCGGCGGAAAAATGTGAATCCAAGCGCGACAACGAGGCAACGCTGAAATTGCGCAAAGTTCTTGCGAAAAATATACCAAAGATGGTGCCCGGTTGTTCACGTCCGTCGCTCGGACGTTCCCGGCTATGCGGGAAGGAAGTGTGGAAATTCCGTTCTGAAACATCCGGCGCGAGAGAAACAACTTGCGGGCACGAGTGAAAATATACAAGATCAACGCGGCTGCTTTTAACGTTAACGCAGTTCCCAACAAATCCACTTCACCCTCCGCTCTTCGCTCCCCGCGTCTGCATCGCGCCGTTATATAACGCACGATTATATCAGAAATAGAAGACCGCGAACTCACCGCTAGATGCAATCGCTCATTTGATAACTGTGTAACAATCGCGCGAACCGGTAGTACCATGCTCGCGCTTGGGGAGCAAGAAAAACAAGAAAAACGAATGAAAAAAAACCTGAACGTATCGCACTGCGCAACGCTGCGGAGTCGCGGGAGCGAGCTTAAATCCGATACATGCGGCTGGGCAACGTCTGTCCTGCCATTTCCACCGTGTTTCCGGCTCCGTGTACCGGGCTTTAGCAATGATATACTGTTAAATAACGTAACGAGTATGCCGACACTCGTCCTATGACATCGGCACGCGGCGCGGCGTTCACCTTCGCGCTCGCGTGAGAGGCGGATGCTCTTTCAGCAACGCCGTTCGTACCAGACGGTGCAATAGCCAGCCGTATGCACCGCGCGCATCCGACATGTCGCGTGTTTTCCACGGGGAAAACCAGCCACCTCTAATAACGGCTGGATACGCGGAATCGATTAGCGATTTCCCTCCGTCCGTTATCGGCGGAAAAGCGAAACGTCACCTGACGAGAGAGATGACGGTCGAGCCAACTTCTACTTCTGACTAGTTTGTCGCCGCCTGGAAGAAAGGATCGATGTTATCACGAGCAACGGGTAAGAGGAAAACACGCACTGGCTGCGAAGGAATCAGCCGACAAAGCGAAAGTATCGATACCTCGATACGTATCGGGGTATCGTTAGCATAACGGAGTGGCCGGCGGCGGTTACGCAAAACGACGATTAAATCATCTCGCGAAAGGCCGCTGCATTCCCGCGTCATTATCAGTGTGATTATTTAAGAATACCGGTATCGGTAGCATTATTGCATCTCCGTCAAGTGCAGCGAGATGCGCGATTCTGGACGATTCCGTTTTACGGAAGAGTTACCCGAGAAGAATGCTCGCGTAGAGCCTTGAATTCACGTCGGACGCGTAAGTAATTTGTTTCTCGGGAAGCAGTAATCATTCTTGGTTGACACGGTTTCTAAAGGGATTAAGTACCGTCTTACAGTGATGTAAGAATCATAAAGCTAATGTAACCGGACAAATAAGCGCAGGTGTGAACGAAAAGTCATATCAAAATACAATCCGACGGGCCGGCCAAATCCCGAATGAAGCCCGTTGATTTCGTTCACTTCGAGGCGCGAATCCTCTCATC